ACTTACGTTGTGTATCTAATTTGTGAAGTAAGTCAAACAATATAAAAAAAACTGTAATAAAAATCAACCAGTAAGAATCATGCAAAAGAATTGACAATCAACGTTTGGTGACAGAAAAAAAATTCAATATTTCAAAAATCAAACGGGAAGTGACGACGATAAAAGCGATAGGAAGCGCTGACCCCGCAGCGCGATAACAGAGGCGCGCGGAGTATTCGAAATTCAAATTGCGACACCGCCATCTCTGTAAATACGCCAGGTCAATGCGATGGCTGCACAAAAACGTTTTTATTTCATTTCGTACTTTTAATAATTAAGTAATTTATTTTGCTTGTTTGGTTTGACGACTACTGTTGGTTGTAGGGTAGTCAGGTTTTAAAACCGAAAAGCCTGACCGACCAGCAGGCCTAGCCGGACATTTTGGTAAAAGGGCCACCTTTAATTTTTTAGTCTTAATATAACAATATTTTTTTAAATAAAACAACACTGTTTATATTATTTACTATAAAATTTTCTTAAATTCTAATGAAATAACAACAAAATTGAATAAATCACTTCTTTATTATTAATGATTTAATATTCATTACCATAGTAATTTGAATAATTGCAATATTATGTTCGTAAATACATGAAAAATGTAAAAACATTATCAAATTTAAAAAGCCTAACAGAAGCCGGACAGGCCGGATACTGTCTAATTTGGCCGGACCCGCAACCAAAAAGTCTGACTGTCCGGCTTTATCCGGACGCCTGGCAATGCTAGGTGGTCGGCAAATCATAATCACAAGTTCACTGTAAAAATCGGTCCAACCCACAAAATGTGAATGTTGTTTATTACCAAGGTGAGATGTCAGATGTCAGATGTTACACATCACATGCGACTACTATAAGGCTCGCTCGTCTTTTTTTCGCTTCTAGCACCATGTAATTTGCGAGTTTTATAATGCATATTTGATTTATTAACAATTAATAAAAAATAAAAATATAAATTTCTTTGCAACTTTCCGCTAAAGATATAAAATGATGTGTCTTACCTGGATTGAAGCGCACCTCCCGCCCTCCCTCAATTGCATACACTAACTCCGTCACCACTAGACCAAGCAAGCTTCAATCCAGGTAAGATTTAGCGGAAAGTTGCAAAGAAATTTATATTTTTATTTTTTATTATAATGGATTTCCGCAAAGTAACGCCTGATTCTATCAATTTGATCTTATTAACAATTATATAAAATACGTCTCCTTTAGCAAAATTAAAAGCAATCTAAATAATAAAAATAAATACAAATGTTACCTATTTCATTTGACAATGTCATTGATAGACATATTACAGTATTGGACCGCCACAAAACACATTTCTGAGCCACTTGCATCTCGTAGATTTTTTTCATGCTTCAGCTTTTACAATTGGCTGAGCACCCTGCCAACTATTTCTGCCGCTAAATAGCAGTGTTTGCATTGCTGTGCTCCGATCTGAAGGGTATAGAGAGCTCCTATAATCACAGACTATGAGGCATTCCAACTAAGTCCTCAGAGGTGACTAAGGTGGCTGCAGTTGTCCATAGACTTTAGTAGCTTACCATCAGGTGGACGATGAGTTCGTTTGGCACTTCAGTTATATAAAAATACGTGTGGCACTCGGTGACTGCCTCGGTAAAGCTATTGCATAGCATTTTTTATCAACTTATGCAATTATAATTATTTATTTATTTTATTTATGCAGTTTAGTCTTTGATATTAAATCAAGTTACACTTTTTGAGCGTGGTGACCGATAAGAAAACAATTTTTTTTCTCTTATTGAATAAATGAGAAGTTAATATTGTTTAAAATATTTTTAATATCTTACAATACATGTAGGTTATTCAGGAATTTTTATCATTGAGTTAGCAGCTAGTGTACACGCATACGTGTAGTCGCACGCACACAAACACCGAAGTGCCGAAGTCTGCCGAGTGCCGAAGTCTGCCGAACTGAAACGACGTTAAACGATGCACGGCTTTCAACGCCACACCTTCATGCCCGTCGGAGTGGGGAGCGTGAGGTTTTTTTTCGTTACGGAATTTCTGGATTCGGTCCCCGCGCTCAAGGTCCGCGATAGAAGCTATGCAATAGCTTAAAAATCACAAGACTTGGTCACCCTATTTTTTTCTCAGCATAGCGCAGCTCATTCTCGATCTCGACCCGTCGTCCTTTTTATTTATTCCTGTTATCGGGCCATATGAATTACTGCAGGGTTATTTAAAGGGAATTATTTATGCAATGCTTATGCTTGCCTTTGATATTATTTTGTCATTTGTACAATTTTAGGGTGAATGTGAATAGGGACTAAATATGAATTTAAATAAAAAAAATATGTTTAAGCAAAATTAGTTTGTGCAAACCGTGCCAGAGCCGGGCGTTCACCACAATTTATACGTGCACTACATGAAAAACGGTGACAAGTCTCCTTTGTCGGTGTATTTAAAATAAATAATGATAACTTAATTGCCAAACGAGGAAAACATCGTGAGAAAACCTATGTCTGAATAATTTAAAATACTTCAGCGACTGTTACCAGTACCTTCTTCTTACAACAGTGTGATAATAATGTCATCCAAACTAAATTTCGGTTACACTGGCCAGTCTCAATCGAGAGTCGAAGCTAGCCATCTGTGCAGGACTGGATCAATTACACGAACTGTGCGCGAACACAAGTGCACTCTCCATTCTCAGATCAGGCGTAGGACCAATGACGACAAAAACAAGGCAGCACGGGGGTGAAACACTGCGAACTTCTGACCCAGGGTTGGTGCTGAGAGTTTCTTAACAAGAAAACCCTGATTTTGACTTCTAATACGGGACTGCAAGATCAGCAGTCACCTTTAAGACCGCTAGGACCAACAATGTGGTCAGTGTCTTGAGCCAAACAAAATGACGTTAAATCGTCTTTGTGTCTTTAAGATTAAATCTGTCCTGATCTAATTTGATCGAAATCTACCAAGACATCTAAAAGAGCTCGTATTTCTGTGCATCACCCAGGCACTGTTTGATACTATTAATCATTTTTAGATAACACTTTCAATACAAACATAAAATAATAAGTTCGTAAGTAATTCAATACGGATTTTCTATAACTGCTTATTAAAACGCTTTTATCTATGGTTTATTTAAATTCGTAGCAAAGAGGATATTAAAAGATAGTAAGCATATTGAGAAATCGTCTATCACAATACGAATGCATGCACCATAATACTGTCCTGTTTATCGCTGACGAAATCTTTCCACGTTACAATTTGAAAGTCAAAAATTTTGAATTATTCACTGTTTAACTTACGCGACGTATTCGGGGTTTTGTAAGGTCGAATACATATCGATGGCGATCCGTTTTTATTCGTATCGTATATCGTATTCATTTATGTAGTGTATGGTGAATGAGAATTCAGTGACCATTTTGTCCTACTTTTTGTCCGACACGAAATTTAAATGTTGAATAATAATGTTGAGTTTAGATTACGAAAGATTAAATTTTTTGATGTTATGTTTAATTTAACAATTTCTTTCAGTAACGTTTACCTAAACAGCTCTAATTTTTGTGTTGTAAATATTTGTATTGTATTTTTTATGTAGCAACTTATTTAACTTTAATCCTCTATAATTCGGAGAATAAAATTTTAGCTCGGAAAGTTCGTATTTTCTGATTGATGATGATTCTGGTCAGTGTAGTGTAATACAATTAAAGAATATAATTATAAAAAAATAACAGAATGAAAGTATGCTTTCTTCTAAAAGCTCTCTTTACTTTTCGCATTGATAAAAGGTTTTTTAAAGACATATTAAACAATAAACTTGTTTTTTTGTTTAAAGTTTACAAGTGCACAAGTGCGTCTACCCTAATGCACAATTTTGATTTTATATTTTAATTTTATAGGTCTGTACATTTCGTATACCTTAGAATTCATATTGCCACTGCCAACACTAACGTGTATGTGTAGGCATCGCATTTCGCATCCGTTCAAGTTTTTCCGGATATTTCCTATCGCGAGGCATCCGTATTGGAACTAGGTATCTACTTTTATTTCCTTTTTCAAACACCATAAAACATAGAATTGCCAATACTTTCTTTAATTTGGTTTTTGCAATTGTAATAAGTACTTATGCTACTAACTATTTGGTTGTGAGAAAATTTCTTGAAAGAATTCTGTCAAATCAAAAATATATCATAAAATTTGAATATAAATATTGATAAAAGTTAATCATTGCCACAAATATTAAAATATTGCATTATAAGTTATAAGGAATGGAAAATAATATGCTTTGTCTGCACTGATTTAATATTTGACTAGAGCACTGAGTGCTTGCACTGCAATTTATGTACATACCTTTTTATTATTAAATATAAATTGATCATAATATACTTAATGTTAGGTTAATTAGTGAAATTGTATGATAAGTGTTGAACAGTGATTTGAACTCATCTTACAATAAGATATGTGTAATGTGTGTTATATGTGTAATGATGAAATAATTAAGAATTTAAGATGGATTTAGATTGAATATTTGTGATATTATTATAATTATTATTGAAATAAATCTATTCTTCATTCCGTTTCATGAAAAAAAATTAACATGGCGTCTCACATGCCGTCATTAGTTTCTAAAACATGGCGGCGTGCGTGGCTCCCTCGCGACGACCCTACGCATGCGTCACACGTGAGGCGGGAACGAGCGCGATTGGCTGCGTCCTGTCGCTAATTGAGCGCCGCGGACGTCCGCCGTCGCGCTCGCGTTCCATTTTCAAATTCGAATTCGATTCGAATTGTCGCTGTTGCGCGTTCGATTTGCGCGCGTTGTGATTATTGTGTACGTTTATAAATCTGACGAATTATCTGATAGTAGATAGGCGGACACTAGCAAAGAGCAACGTGGGTTTTTTTTCGCCTTGCTACAAATATGTTAAGAGTATGAAAGTGATGACATAATAATATAAATATAAACGTGATGTTTGCAATTGTTACGAGAACCGATGATAGTAAGAACTGATGTCATTTTAACGGTATGTATTTTATGATCTATATTTCTTAAAGTATTGATTTTCTTTCTACTAATTTCTAAATATAGCTATTTTGATGATGAAGGATATATTTAGTATTTTTCCTTTTTATGCTTAACTATAATTGTGACCCAAGTCTAGTTATTTGATAAACTAACAATTTTGTAAAGCAAAAATTAATATTGACACTACTATAGAGTTGAAGAACTACTTAGTGCCGAAATCTGCATGTTATAGAAGAAATATTTTGGAAATTATAACACATACGTATTGAAAATTTGAAATATTCTCTAGCTCCCATTGGTTTCTAGAATTAAGTGGTCTATTACATTTTTATATTTACTTTCACGACAGTATTTTGTATTTATTCGTCTCTAACATAAATTTGTTAACAAATTTTGTTTCCTGTGAACATTTTGAAAGCAAAATACTTCAATCTAAACCGACACGCCATTATTAAACGCTAAAATAACTCCCGTGCACGTCACATCACTCGTACAATTTATCAGACAGAATAATTAAGGCGCATCATCCTCCTAGGCCGCGTTCCCTCGGGTCGACTCTGAAATACCCGCACGGGGAGCTGTCGACGTCGTATTCAATAAAGTCGGCTGCTCGCATTTAGCGCTTGAAATGAATTCGTCTAGCTTTTAAGTAAATGTTACTCAAGATCACTCCGTTACCTGTAACCGAGGCTGACGGATCTTTCTGAATAAGGGAGGAGGGTAGGTGAGGGGAGGTGGCATAAAAAGGGTCCTTCAACTCATAGATATTATATTACTTTCGCTCGTATTAGATAAAAATGAAAATGAAACTTTAGTTGATTGATGAACAAAAATAGTTTTACTAAGGCTCGTGACATCAATATTACTCGTAACCGGCTTTAAAAAGGGGGGAAGACTTTGATTCCCATAGTGTTTGTGTGTGTGCGATTTTTTCCGCGTTATTCTATGTATTGTACTTATGGGAAGTTTCTAGAAAACTTTATTAATTATATTAAACTCAGATTATAAACGAAAAATCCATTCCAACTAAGCTAATAATATGTGTTAGGAATATGTTGGGTTGCTACGTAAGTTTAGCAAGACGGCTTCTGTAGAATGTACGTTACGGTTGTCTAATTTAATAGTCCTCTAAACATACGAGCTGGCGATTAGAGTATACTTAATAATAAATACTACTATATTATGGTTGAAGCACGAATGGGTGGGCTCGACCGGGGGAGGACCACTCTCTCACAGAATACCAGCGTAAAATAGCAGCTTACGATACGTATGGTGAGTTAAGAGAATCGGAGACCCTTTTTACTGGAAACGACGCATTCCATCTTAGTCCTCAGGGGTGACAATGCATCTGCATTTTGATTCTTGATTGAGGATAAATTTAGATATCTATGGGCAGCATACCCTGACCATCATTTGGATTGTGTGCTCGTTTATCACCCTTATTCTATAAAAAAATATTAGCTTATGTATACTGTAGGAGCTGGCGTAACTCTGAAGATTTGTGTCACCAGCGATTGAGGAGGTTTATATGCACAGAATTGAAACCATCATATTGGTATTGCTAGCCATTTTGTGAAATTTAGGTCGAGTTTTGGATGGACCTGTTATCAGTCAGTCGGTCACCAAGGCCGTGTCCGTCAATCAGCAGGATACAGCGCTTGCAGATGATGTTGTCTCTCTCTCTTTATCGGACGACTGACCTTGAAACGTTCACGTTCAATTCGCAATGGAAGATGCTTCTTACAAAAAATCAATAACTACTTGGTTTCACAAATAATAATATGACGGTATAATCGCTTCCATAAAATTACACAAGAATTCAGTTAGTAACATCTTCGAAATATTATTATGATTGTGCCCGTCTCTCAGTACATATTAGTTTCAGTTTAAAGGGTATGTAAAAAGTGAAGTAGCAGTTTAAACATGTGTCCAATTCAAACTGCACCTTATGTAATTATTAAGGATATGTAGTTGTTTTAAGTTTACTCCATGTTTTTAAAGGATGTGTGTGTTAGTTGCCATTTACCATCAGGTGCACTTTTTATTCGCTTGTCGATGTACGAGGGTGGATTGAAAAGTACTCGGCCTAACCAAGAAAATAAACACATACTAAATCAGTTATATTTTTATTTTTCTACATAATCACCATCAAGTTCAATACACTTTTGCCACCTCCCCTTCCAAGCATTTAGACCGTTGAAAAAAAAATGATTCTTCCTTAGAGTCAAAATATGCGTCTACAGCTGCTTTGACCTCGTCGTTTGTCGAAAATCTTTGACCTCCCAAGTGCTTTTTTAGATCAGGTGAATACGGCGGATGCGGTAACAGTTCAAAGCCACAGTTGTGAATTTCAGCCATTGACTGTACTGACGTGTGAACACGGGCGTTATCTTGATGAAACAGGACTTTTCTTCTGAGCATTCCTCGACGTTTTTCTTTTATTTCCTCTCGTAAACGACGTAGTAAGGTGAAGTAGTAATCAGAGTTTATAGTCTGACCCCTTTCAAGATAATCAATCATAATCAATCACACCTTTCGAGTCCCAGAATACTGAAGCCATCACCTTATTTGCCGACAAAATCGACTTAGCCTTTTTTAGGGGGTGGTGAACCAGGTCTTCTCCACTGTTTTGATTGTTGTTTTGTTTCCGGTGTACAGTAATGAACCCATGTTTCGTCCATAGTAACAAAACGATTCAAAAAATCATCTGCATCGGCTTCAAATAACTCCAAACAGTCGCGTGAAATAGTCAATCGCGTCCTTTTTTGTTCAACTGAAAGCAGTCGCGGAACCCACCTCGCAGACACCTTGTGGAAACCGAACTCGTTGACAATGTTGTTTTGAGTTCGTTCATAAGAGATGCCTATAATCTCGGCTATCTCTCTAATTTTTAATCTGCGGTCTCCCATTATTAAATCAAGTACTTTTTTAATATTTTCGTCAGTAGTTGACGTCGAAGGCCTTCCAGAGCGGGGTTCATCTTTCACACTCTCTCTACCACGCTTAAATTCTGCTATCCATTTTTTGACGGATGAATATGACAGAGCACAATCGCCTAATGTACTGACCATGTCATCATGGATGGCTTTTGATGATAGCCCCTTCTTATGGAGGTACTTAATGACGGCACGCTGCTCGATTTGCTCCATTCGCGGAAATTATGTCCGATTACTTTGTTAATAAATTTATAAAATCACAACTAATTATCGCACACGTTTCGAACTTCACACAATGAACTAGTCTGAACTGAACTAAATAATGTGGGTAGATTTGATTTTTAGAATTGAATGGATCTGTGTTAGGCCGAGTACTTTTCAATCCACCCTCGTAATATAATCATTATATAAATATCTGTGCGTGCAGTCACCCTTAAGAACTATTACTGTATTATAATGATGCAGGTATATTATATCTATGGAAAAAAAATGATGGTGAAACCACACCGTTTTAGGACAAACTGAAAGCACTTCTTGAATATTTTCTATCTAGACTTAATTCATCGATGCTTGAAATCGATTGACATACTCGTATTACGTAGGTACGGCACAGCTGTGAAGTGTGTTTCCGCGACAAATGTAGGAAGACTATTTTATAGCCAACGACGTATTTAAAAATATATAGAATGATTCTTAAAATTTTAAAACAAATAAAATATGATGGAGTAGTGCGTTGTGGCAGTAAGGCGAATGTAGCAGTTTACTGTAGCATGCACTGTATCTGGGGGCACTCTCGACTCGACTCGTAGATCAACACCGATTATACTGTTAACTTTAGAACCTTCGAAGTTTAGAACTTTGTATAACTACTGTCTGTCTGTGTACTTTATTCAATAAAATAAAAATAAATAATTTAGTGAGTTACTTATAATACAATTATTTACATTTACATAACATAAAACACTTTGTCACCCAGAGAGGTGGGCAGAGACAAGGGACTTCCATTTGGCACCATCCTGACTACCCTCTCGCCTCCTTTACATCCATATACTTAAGCATAGATGCTCATATAATATATTACGATGTTAATGTTATTTATATTTACAATGTTAAAACTCGTAAAATTATTACAAACTGCACTTTATAAGTTGAACGCCTGCTGTACTTCGGTGTGACAAAGCTTCAATGAGGGGTGGGTACTCAACTTTGTTTCGAAATATTTCCACCTCGTTCTCCGCGAATTTGAATTTCGACTACGCCGCTTCCATTTTTGAAATTAGAGTTTTTAATTAAAGGCCGCATTTTCACGATATCATCGCGCTTTGTCGTCGTTTCGCGGGCGGTCCTATTTACATTTTTTCTCTACTTTTTGTGGGGGCAAAGGTAAAGACCTGTAATTATACGGTATATCTTTTTTTAAACTCGCCTAGATTCAAAAGGAGCGAATCCGAAAATTGTTTTCGCTTTTGTCGTATTTATACTTGAAGAAGGCGTCTGTTTGGCAGTTGGCGGGTTGAAAATGTAATTGTTTAATCTGTTTTCGGAGACTGAAGTGACGTGAATTATTGAGCTTCTTATAAAATACACTGGTTACCCATTAATTGTTGAGAGAAGTGTGTTCTGAAAAAATAAATAGTAATAATAACAAAGAAATACGTAAACTAGTATTATTAGTACTGCAGCGCTTGTTGCAATCGTAACTTTGAAAGGATTCAAACTCATGATTTTAAACGTGGTTGAGCCATGCTGTAGTTATATTAATTGTAATTGTAAAATTGTAAATTGTATTGTTGTAGCACGAATGGGTCGGCTCGACCGGGGAAGGACCACACTCTCACAGAATACTAACGTAAAATAGCAGTTTATGATACTGTGTTTCGTATGGTGAGTCTAAAGAACCGGAGAACCTTTTTACTGGAAAAGAGGCCTTTTCCATCTTAGTCCTCATGGCTAACAACGCATCTGAATTTTGATTCGCAAACGAGGATAGGATTGTTTTATGGGCCACAGCAACTACTTACCATCAGTAGTGTGCTCGCTTGTCACTCGCTCGCTCGCTTATCCTATAAAAAATCAATATATATTATAAGAGCACTTCCAAGAAGACCTCTTAGAAATCTTGTTATTTTTTCTATTCTTTCAATATTTATCAAGAGCCGCGGTAGCTCTCCGTAAATTTATCAGTAATACGCAAGCGACCCGAGGAGCTCGATTCACTATCTATATTATATATAATAATCAACACGTTATCAATATTTGATACGCTTGGTACGTACAATCTGGGTCACTCATTTTTTAGTTCTTGCTTACGTTCCTTATCTAAGATATGTTTGTAATATAATAAATGTTAATTTAAGATCGTACGGTCCTCAAAGAAATGACAAATAAGTTATTAAGTTATTAATTTCAATATGTATTATCCGGTTGTATTGGCGGTGTAAGAGTATCCACCATATCGTCACGTGCGTGTCGTAAAAGGGGATAGTGGCAAACTGAAACGGGAAATTCCTACTAATAACCGCTGTTTCCCATCCGTTTTACAAGCGTGGCTACTATGGCCCACTTTTGAGCCATTTATGGGGAAACCTATGTTGAACTGTGGATTTTTATAGGATCTAACAGAATGTATGATGAATAGAATCATTAATAAATAATTAAACTATAACACAAATAAGTAATATTCATTATGTTCTAAGTTTTAGTTTAAGTTTTATTACATCACTTTGAAATATATAATTTTTTATAGGATAGGGTGACAAACGAGCACACAGTCCACCTGATGGTAAGTGCTTACTATGGCCCATAGACATCTACACCTATCGACTACGAATCAAAATGCAAATGCGTTGTCACCCGTGAGAACTAAGATGAAATGCCTCGTTTTCAGTAAAAAGGGTCTCCGGTTCTCTACACTCAGCATAGGAAACGCAGCAGCATTAAGCTACTATTTTACGTCTGATATTTTGTGAGAGCGTGGTCCTTCCCCGGTTGTCGGTCGGTCCTAAACTACTTAACCGATTTTAATTAAATTTGCACACCATGTGCAGTTTGGTCCAACTTGAGAGATAGGATAGTTTTTTCCCATGAGTGAACCACAATTTTTTTTGCTAATTTAAGGATTTTTAATAGGACACGACAAAGGGTCGTCGAAAAGGGCAGAACAACGACTGCCTGGCAAGCTAGTTTAGCACTAAAAATTACAGTTAACAATCTCATTGGCCAATTTGAACCCGGGTAACACGCGTACTGCTGCTGACTTTACGACATGTGGTTATCATATACCGTTTACCTACAGTAAGGTGTCAGACGGACTTCAATGGTAACTCAAATTAACCTTCCGAAAGGTTGTTGCCGATTTACATATCAAATTAAATGTTTTTCGAGCGTTAGTTTTCAATACCCTTTAGTTGGTTCACGTTACGAATTTCAATCGAAACCTTTGCTCTTCGCAAATTGTATTCAATTATGGATACTTCCTCGAAAGATACAATACTAAAGAAAACGTAAATTTAATGATAGATTTTTTTTTAAATTAAAGTAAATACGAACTTACATACCTATACATTACTCAGACATGCTGAGCCGATGTACTTCACCGCCGAGCACGTGGTAAATCAGCATCAAAAACTGCAACTAGGAATTTCATCGCTGCCGGCGGGGATCAAACGCGCGTTGCTTGCGAAATATGAAATTTACAACGATTTAGATCGGCTCTATACTTCATGTCACAAATTTTACAATGTTTTCTTAATCAATGTATTTTACTGCACAGGCCACGTTTTAGTGGTTCAGGCATTGTGCTTTCGATTGGCATACTATTTATACTTTACAAATATTTTTTATACGTGGTAGAGCTTTGCTGCATCTATACTGGATGAATCCTTTTTACCGTTTGGAAAAAATAGGGTGTAACATGTAGTATAGTAGCTATGGCACTGATATTTTACAAAAAATAAAAATTTTGAATTAAATATAAATAAATTATTTAAAATGTATCGAAATTCAAATCATATCCTCCCTACTTTACGAACGGCAATAAAACAATACATTTAGTAGGCATCTTTGACTTTGTCACTTCGCAGGGTCACAGGCTCAAGGGCAAAAGGACTAAGCAATTGTTCAATTTTTTTTTCAAACGTTTTATTTAAATTTTTGTTTTTATTTTTTGGAAAATATCAGTGCCATGGGCTTCTACTCCGTTCACATGCTTTACCCTATTTTTTTCCAGACGGTAAAGAAGGTTCATCCAGTATAGTTGCAGCATGAGGTGATCTGCTAAAACAGTTAAGGGCCACGCTCTTACAGAATAGCCGCGTAAATTAGCAGCTTAATACTGCTGCTGCTATGTTTCTTTTTATGAGTGTAGAGAACCGGAGACACTGTACTGGGAACAAGGCATTACATCTTTCTTAATTGAAGTTAGATGTAGATGCCTATGGAATAGCATTTATTTACCATTAGGTGGACTGTAGGTATAGGTGGTGGCTGTTGGTTCGCACTTATTCTATATGAAAAGTATATTATTATATTAAGACAAGTTAGCTAAAATTTTAGCAGTATTTATGTAGTGTTTTTATTTAAATAATCGTTATTTCAAAAAAAAATCGTATTACAACAATGAGATTAAAGTTTTCTACAATGTTATGAAATGAATTTCTTTACCAATTAAAAAAAAAATCTCCATTCTCGAAGCTACACTTTTATCGCAGATGTAAATCGCAAACATCCATTAAATAGAGCTCTACCCTCCAATATAGCTGACATTCAAACGCAAATATCTCGATAGAGCTGCGGCAGAAAAACCCGTCCTTTCAAGCTCCATCTGCGTCACCGGTAGGCAAATATAGAATTTATTTTCAAAAAGGCATTTCTTTTGTCCGTGCGCAGATGTACTGCGCACACGTGCAACGACGGGCGGCCGAGATTTGTCGCCGTTTTTGCTTCGAGAGCCGCAGCGACTGGAGTTCGAGGTGTCGTGGTTGGGGCCGGTCGATTGGTAAGTGAAATTTCTTCTAGTTTTTTTTTTAATTGTTATTATAACGGTCGTTCTAGGTGGTAGGTTTCCTTTTCTGCCTACAAATGCATGTGGATAGTTTCCTAACCTATTTCTGCCGCCAAAATGTAGTACTTACACTGGGTAGGGTATAGAGAGCCGTTGGAATAATAGGCTGTGAGGCATCCCATCTTATTCCTCAGAGGGTCAGAGATGACAACGAATATGTAGCATTCTGTGAAGTTCGCTGCATGAGTCTATGGACTGCAGTATCGGAACTGTAAGTTTTTGTCACTGAGTTTTAATAAAAGTTTAACAGTTTTTACGTGGTAGAGCCACGTTGCACAATTTCCTCATATAGAGGATTGGCTAGCTCTTTGAGCTTGGAACCCGAACTAAAAAAATGCTTTATATACTACAAACAACGCAGGTTTATATCATTGTGAATAATAACCTTTATTCGTTTGTAGTCCTAAAATCTTCTGAAAATCACTAAAAGTTGTAAATTTTAATGATATATGGTTTTCGAAAGATCTTGATTATCAGTGCATTCAGCATCGTTTGGAGATGATTGTAAGTAACACTAAAAAATTATTGTAGATTTATTTTAATGAATTATAATTTAAAAAAATAAGGATAACATATTTAGCGATTTTTTTTTAATTGTAACTCTTTTTAAAATAAAGAATCTACTGACTGAAATCTTACTACTAAGGATTGCCTGCCCGTTTGCTGTAGTTGACACGCTTAGCTGGCGGTTTAGAAATCGCAGCTTTTTATTATTATTTAATTCCTATCAGAAAGATGCTGCTGCTCATCTCCTGAACCAGTATTCCTCTTACGCCGCCACTACACGGCAATATTTTATTTATAGTATTTAAGGGATTATAGATTTGGGTGTGAATAGAACACCGCATTCGCTTAAGTTACTCTTCCCCCTTATTTAAACTTTAGCATTTGATGAAACATTTCCTGATTAATGCCGATTTCTGAGAATGATGTATCATGTTCGTCAACGTCAACGTGAACTGAGAATTGTTTATGTAGATAACAGTTTAATGACCTCGCAATAAAATTGCAATTTTCGAAAATCTTAACAAATGCACAACGAAATTTTATGATAAATTACGAAAAATAAAACTAGTCAATCTAGTAACTGACTAGTTTTTGATCCTCCATCGTAAAAGCAGAAACCCTTTTATGTGCGTTTTCTTACAGTAATTGAATTTATACTGGTAAAATTTCGTGTTATTTTGGGACTGGTCTGTTACCCAATTTCATCCAAGCCCGTTTGTTTAGTCCTTTATGCGTCAAATATTATATATCGAAAGCATTCACACATATGTTGTATTATACACATTTATATTATTAAGTCTAAAAATAAACTCGATGAATCCGTAAAATTAGTTTTATCCCATTTTTATTACTTTTGAGTAATACCAACGTAGGACCAACATCCAGACCCGGAAAATTAATTTGTAATCATTCGAACCGGCGGCTAATAAATATAATGCTTAACCACTGCTATCAAGTTGTCTTATATTCGTACAACACTATCTAGATGTAATTATCGTCATTATTAGATATATATTGATAGAGTATCATTTTGATGTATGAATTATTAATTTAATTAATAAGTCAGATAATTAAGTCGCAATAAGCCGGCCATTAGCTGGACGAACCGACAACCAATTGGAAAAAAATCCACAGTAACAGCCTCGTACCGTTAAGGCCTCCTTCGGTCTTCGTCAAGCGGATTATAGGACATCCCCCACTAGACGGAGTGACACCTGGTGTAAGACATACAGAAGGTCGATAGATGCAGTTATCTCAGGACCGTGCTTTGTGGCATTACTTTGGGGAGGCCGCAGTTAGCATTGGACTTGTGAAAGGCGTTTTACTCCACAAACCTAACTTAACAAGAACAATTTAAACGTTTAAGTTCGTACAGATAAGTGCCTGTCAAATTATTATTGTGATTAATCTCGAGCTGCACGTAAACACTGTATATATACTCAAATTATTAGAAATATATATAGAATATAATAATGTCCTCTGATGATGATGATGGTTAAGTCAAATATGCTGCGATTAATAGTAATAGCTTTTTATCTCTGCTGACTGTAATGTAAAACGAAATTAAATGTCATTTGCTTCAGTCGATAACACTTTTTATTATTAGAAAAGATATGATACTTTTAACTTCAGAAGTCTACGTGCCTGAATGTTGTTATGTGAAAACCACAAATATCAAAGCGCTCGAACATAGTACATTGTAAATAATATGAATTTGAAGAATAACAGAACTACGAAGTTTCATCGTCATTACAGTCTGCCAAAGTCCCGTGCTAAACATAGGTCTACTTCATAGATTATCTTGTGGGTGCGATATTTGACTCACTTGCCGCACTTGGAAAGTGTTCAGTTTTTTATTATTTTCAGTGGTTAATAAAAAAAATGCTGCTGCCCATGTACTCCTCAATTTCCCCCTGTCGGGATGATATGGGGCAGTGGTATCTACGCTGCCACTTCACGGCTAAATCAAGTTTATTAAATGTTATGGTTTTTAAAATCCACTCATATTTTAAAATGCTGTTTCTGTGACGCAGCTTAATGGTTTGTCATGTTTTTTTAACTTTTTAACCTTTCAGAAATGAAAAGAGGCCTGTGCCCAACGTTCACATCTCCCAACGTACGTGGGATGTAGTTTAGTGTATCTTTACCTTACATTTATGCCATCGTTTTAATGCCGGTCCTTGTATGAATTTGACCAAGTATGACGTAAAATGTTCGCGTACAATTTTAAGACAATTATTTAGTCAAACCCTCGTATAGTACACACGTACTTGTACCTACATGTATGATATACGAGTAATGCCCTAAGATTTCGATGAATATACGACACGAATAATGCAGAATGATCTAACCCAATCTGGTCAAAAATAAGTTACGATAGTGTTTACATGTTCGTTGTATGGAGTGACCTAAAGGCGGCCCAGCCACACCTTAACCTACTGCGGCAGTACTTCGCACAAACTGTACATGTTGAAAGCAATATGCTAACAAACAACTATGGAATTAAATAATATTTTACAAAAAAAAAAACTCTGAGCATTTAATTTACGATCCAAACAAGATGGCACATTAATTCATCTATTCATTTTCCAATGTAGCCTATAAAAGTGGAAATGCTGGACACGGGCCTCTTCCGTAGGTAACATAGGGGGGTTTAGCCCTGGTTGCCACGCTTGACAAACGCAGTTTTTTTTTTAATAATTTTTAGTTTTATCAGGAAGATGCTGCTGCCCTTTTTCAGTTTCCGTCTGTCGCCTCTTACAGACACCCATGGATATGGAGTAGTGGGTTCTGCTACGCCACCACAACACGCCTAAATAACGTTCTTTTTTTTAAATACACTCCAATTTGTATCGCCACAGTCTCCATAGTCCACATTCTTACACCGTCACTTACACTTTTAATCATCATCAAAATAATATCAAACAACAATCCTGAGCTACCTGGTTCTATCGACTTTCTCCATGTCTGACTCCATCTAGCGAGGAGCGACCCTACATTCAACTTATCAGTACAAGAACATTTCTTCCCATATTATATTTTAATATTGACCTTTATGTTCGTTAACTTAAAAGCCTGTTTAAGTGCTAGCTGACTCACTTCCTTAATGACGCTTCATGATGCGCGTTAGTGGAAAAATAGTGCTAACGACGACATAGCTATTAGAATAATTTATTAAATTATATGTATTATACATGACAAAACCCAACAGATCAGTAGACTGAAGTGCCGTGCCGGGTCAATCAAGCTATATGACTGACTAATGGGCCGGTCATATAGCTTGAAAAACCGACACATAATGATTTCTTATACACGAATAAAAAAAGTACGCAATAACATCCGTAAAATTTCTTTTATTGAATTTAAAGAAAGGTTCTCTTCGAGAGGCAATACCGGTAAGCGGAGTGTAGGGATTTTCCCCTCACAAGATGGATTGACGATTTGGATTTGGAAAAACGACGATTTGGAAGATATGCAAGATGTCGTCCAAAATAGATTCATTCGCATTGCCACCGCAGCTCGGTGGTACCAGTTAAACTCGGACTTGCACAGAGATTGTCAACTTCCGACGATCTTTGAATATTTCAAGGAAATGTCTCGTAGTTTGAATGCGCTGAGACATTCCAACCCGCTAGTGGTAAACGCAGCAACCTACGCTCCGACTTCAAACGGTAAGCAAAGCCCCAGAAGGCCTCGTAACGTTTTATCGAACCCCCATATCTCCATACTCCGCTAGATCCCTACGACCGACACAAATGTCGCCGGCCCGTCACACATAAATACTGCACATTCACCTAGTGCCACAAATACTAATAGGACAACGGATGGGGCACAGTAAGTCCGCAAACGGGCCCGCCACACACTCCTCCACACCGCGTACACACCGTACAACCGCGTCCCTGGGCGGTTCTCACCGACCAGAACATCGAGCGACACGAGTTAGCCGTCAGAACCGGAGCCCGCCACTCCCTGTTCGGAAGGCCGCTAGATAACTCAACCACGTGCTCTGTACACTGTCGTAGTACACATCGTTACGCAAGTTACGATGTGGAATGATTTAAATACACTTTTTAGAGCCCTGAGACCTATGAAGCTGTGACAGCCAAAAGGCTAATAGTATTAACATCATCAGAAACTACAGCTGCAAAATGTACGTATATGTGGCCCTAAGCCACCTGAACTCAGCCCTCAAACCCTGCCACGCACGTATACAGGAAGTGCAATACTTATTAATTACCTCATTCTTGCAGTGACTCCAGCAATTATTTAAAATATTTGCTAGGCAGTAGTAGGTTTAGACTTTGTACTACTGCAACGCAGAACGTAGGAACCTATTTGGTTGAATACCGAAAAGAACTCACCTATGCAAACATTGCTGCGTTCCGCTCTAGTGCATGAAAAGGCTTTATAATTACAGGATCTGAAAT